ACACAAGCCCGCAATTATCCAATAGGTAACGGATTTATCAAAATTTAAGCCCTTAAGTGCGCAGACAACTTTGATGAATTGCTGCAAACCTTTAAATTTTAAATACCTATTGATTAAATATATTTTAAGGCCGAAAGTCGTAACTTGTCAAATAAAGAACAGTTTAAGCAGCTTAAATGACTACAAAAAAATAAATGAATAAATAATTAAAAATAAATAAAAAGAAAAAGATATGATAGATTGATAGATAGATAGATAGATAGATAGATGACGTCATTTTCATGGTACAGTTCTTCAATACTAAGTAGGTAAGAATATCACCGAACTTGATTTGTGCCCATCAACTAAATTAAATATTTGTATGAAGCAAAGCTGAACGTGTTTATCCGCAATATCTTGTAACCTCTTGAAATGCTCGAATCAAAGATCCCAGACTCTTGACTGTGTCCGAATTAATTCTTGATCTCGAACTGATTAAAGAATATTCTCTAATCCTACGCCGATTAATATAGAAAACTTCTCTTCACTTCGTAGATACCTCTCATATAAAAAGTTTTAAGCAAGCAATTCACAATATATATATATAGGACTACATAACAAAGTCTAGAATAAAAAAGAAAAGAAAACAAAAAATGAAAGAATTTTCAAAATCATTGAACTTGACTTTCGCATGTTTACGATTTCTTAATAGATCGCTGAATTCCAAGTGTTGACATTAATTCATTTCTGAATGATTTAAACGTTAATGAGTTTTTATGCTTCTTTTTCCATTTTTAATTAATTTATTATTATTACAAAAACAACAACAAAAGTAAAAATAGTTGCAATATGTTAATTACGCGTCAATATGTTCCTACAGTAAAGTAAATTATAAATAATACTTACTATATATATATATATATAAAAATATATATATACATATATATTTTTTAAAAATTGAATGAATAATTTTTAAGAATTCAATAACATTTACTAAAAAAGAATTTTAAAAGAAATAACAGATAAAAAACAAAAGAAATCAGCAAATGTATACATAGGTATTAATTAAGGCTACACTCAAACACACAAAACAGAAAAGTAATTAATAAATTTAAAAAAAAAAAAAAAAAAAAAAAAAAAAAAAA